ATACGATTATGTAACAAGAAATACCTTTAAAAGGCATTATATATAATTATTTAGCAATATAATATTAATTTCTGCCTATAATTGAAAATAATTGATAATTGCCCTCGGTCGTGCTATCATACTCCGGTGACCTTTTTACAAGATAAAAGCAAACATATATTAATAAACAATAAAGTATATAATAAATTCCTCGCGATTAAATTTCATTACCGTGTGAAGCATCTAATTCTCGCGGCTCACTGCGGTGCTGTTATTCAAACGTTTATTATTGAGATCGCAGAGTACAAGCTCGCTCTTTAATTCTGGCATTGGATGGAAATGACGTTTAATATGTACACACGGCGAAGTGGCTCGCACCACGAACCGCATAATAAATCTGCTTCACATCGTGAAATTATTGATGAGTTAATGCGGCATATAACATGTTATATAATGCGTTATATAAACTGAATAAGATTTACGAAGCCACTAATGCATGACAGTAGAATTGCATTTGTACCGGAAATCGAATGGTCAATGCTGCAACATACTGACCTAACATAACGTTTTACCTTTACGAGTTTCTTTCGTTGAAGATATTTCTTCGTGCTATTTCCTGAGATATTGCAAGCACAATGAAAACTTCCATACGTTACAATAAACAGACCTTGTTTGCAGTTTGCATATTATCCAGCTTATAAGCTTTAATACTCGTTTTTTTTATCAAATGATAAGATATAGGTACAAATGACAATGTTATCAGTATGGTCGATTGTTACCTGGTACTTCAAAGTACATATCAATCATTATCAAATTGATACTTTAGATTCGGATAGTGCACGTTATGCACGTTACACAAAAAAACTCGGCCATCCAGTAATTTATTAATAAGGTAACTCTTTGTCGAGCTTAAATATTGTTCTCTCTCTTTTTCTGATTTAGTATATCAGAGTTTAGTATGATAATTTGAACTGCCGACTGGCTATTCGCGGTTTCAATATATGTTTTTAAAGACATGTAAGGAATCGATATTGCCGTAAATGTTATTGATTCATAATCGATAATTATATAATTACCAATACAGATGGTTAGTGTGATCAATTTCATCAAAATAATTATCTTTACTAGTAATTTTACATAATTGCCAGAAAAACGACTAACTTGTATTTATTAATTACATTTGTCAATTGGATACTGGAGATTATTCATAATTATGAGTAAATGTGATAAATTAAATGAAAATAACAAGAATTTATTAAATTTACCAAAATTATTGGTAAAATTTATGATAACAGATATATGATACACATATTATTTCCGATATTTTCTGTATTTTATCTACGATTCCTTTGTATCTTATTTATGATCTTCAATTTTGGCTTTCCGTTAATAAAAATGCAAAACACATCAACAATTTACTTACGAGTTATAAATAACTAGAAACCAAAGTGTTCAAATAATTCAATATGTTGACCAAAAAGAACACCGGCTAGATATGTTTTAGTACACAAGCGTATCGAATCTTTATTTTTTTTTATTTTTAAACATCGATACCAATCAGTGTTATTGTTACCTTGTGACTCTTGTTACGTAATAATACAGATGTTCAACAGAACATCTGCTGCACATTGCGCAATCGTTTATCTAATTTTTATGCATAAGAGAAAGTTGAGCGATGCGACCGCAGGTATTGTGAAAGACTTCTTCCGGTAAAAATAATCATTTTAAAGTTGATATCTCTCTCTCTCTCTTTCTTTCTGTTTCTCTCTTTCTACTGCTTTGAAAAATCGAAGACACAAATAAAATAGAAGTAATTTTTTTCATTTACTTATGCGGGTAATCAGTTCCAATATTCCCTTTAAGTTTCAAGATTAAAAATTCCATAAAAATTTCAGCAGTCTCCGCTCGCTAAGAAATTATGACTACCGAACGTCGCGTCGTTCCGAACATGTTTACAAACATCGGCCGGATATTGTGATCTTTATTTGATACATCGCACACACATTAGGTCGGTTTTTTTTATAGTCGAACTAACGTACACTCTCTTAAAGTAAAATAGATATATTGTTTAAAGCTTGACGCAATCGAAAAGGAAAGTTCTAGTTAGGTCTGGTGCAGTGATGAAAAGCAAAGCAACCATTTCGCGGTACATGATACACATACTTCGTAATAGCGTCGTGATACGGGCGACGCGAGCGCGCGAGCACACGGTTGTTTACGGGCGGCTATAGCGGCGCCGGCTGTGCTGTTGTCAGCTGTTCGCTCTGAGCGAATCGCTCAGCCGTTCGCTGAAGCACGCAGAGAAGAGGGAACAACCTTTACTACGGTAAACTTTGACAGAGCAACGTACCTCGTTCTGCGGGAGCTTGTGACGGTCTACTGAATAACGCGATGCCTTATCGCCGTTGATTAACCTTATCAACAACACGTGATGCGTTTTCCCGCGTACTCCGACTCCGACTCCTGGACCGTGACGTGTTACTTATCGATCTGTCGTTTTACGAGGTACCAACACGCCGTCGAATGAGTCGCTGTTGCCGGGTGTACGGCTCGCCATACTGCCTACGATAGCATGTGGCGGGTTATTCGAACACGTTCTTAATGAAACGTGGATCACTAACGAGATGCTTTTAGCCTTTGAACACAGCTAGCGTCAAAAATTTCTTAAAATTTGAACGGTTTTATTACTTCTGAGCTCATCTGCACAGGTTTTAAACACTCAGGATCTTACTTTACTTGCAATTGTGGATTTGAAATAATATCAAACCAACAG